ACCACACATGTCTCCCTGTCTATGGTGAACACGCATGTCTCCCTGATTATGGTTACCACACATGTCTCCCTGTCTATGGTGAACACACATGTCTCCCTCTCTATGGTAAACACACACGTCTCCCTGTCTATGGTGAACACACATGTCTCCCTGACTATGGTGAACACACATGTCTCCCTGTCTATGTTGAACACACATGTCTCCCTGTCTATGGTGAACACACGTCTCCCTGTCTATGGTGAACACACATGTCTCCCTCGCTATGGTAAACACACACGTCTCCCTGTCTATGGTGAACACACATGTCTCCTTGTCCATGGTGACCACACATGTTGTCCCTGTCTATGATAACCACATATGTCTCCCTGTCTATGGTGAACACACATGTCTCCTTGTCGATGGTGACCACACATGTCTCCCTGTCTATGGTGATCACGCATGTCTCCTTGTCGATGGTGACCACACATGTTGTCCCTGTCTATGATAACCACACATGTTGTCCCTGTCTATGATAACAACACATGTCTCCCTGTCTATGGTGAACACACATGACTCCCTGTCTATGGTGAACACACATGTCTCCTTGTCGATGGTGACCACACATGTCTCCCTGTCTATGGTGAACACACATGACTCCCTGTCTATGGTGAACACACATGTCTCCTTGTCGATGGTGCCCACACATGTCTCCCTGTCTATGGTGAACCCACATGTCTCCCTCTCTATGGTAAACACACACGTCTCCCTGTCTATGGCGAACACACATGTCTCCCTGTCTATGGTGAACACCCATGTCTCCCTGTCTATGATAACCACACATGTCTCCCTGTCTATGATAACCAAACATGTCTCCCTGTCTATGATAACCACACATGTCTCCCTGTCTATGATAACCAAACATGTCTCCCTGTCTATGATAACCACACATGTCTCCCCGTCTATGGTGAACACGCATGTCTCCCTGATTATGGTTACCACACATGTCTCCCTGTCTATGGTGAACCCACATGTCTCCCTCTCTATGGTAAACACACACGTCTCCCTGTCTATGGCGAACACACATGTCTCCCTGTCTATGGTGAACACACATGTCTCCCTGTCTATGGTGGACACACATGTCTCCCTGTCTATGGTGATCACATGTCTCCCTGTCTATGGTGAACATGCATGTCTCCCTGTCTATGGTTAACCACACATGTCTCCCTGTCTATGGTTACCACACATGTCTCCCTGTCTATGATAACCACACATGTCTCCCAGTCTATGGTGAACACACATGTCTCCCTGTCTATGGTGAACACACATGTCTCCCTGTCTATGGTGATCACATGTCTCCCTGTCTATGGTGAACATGCATGTCTCCCTGTCTATGGTGAACACACAAGTCTTCCTGTCTATGGTGACCACACATGTCTCTTTTTTAGTGGTGATACATTGTATTGTTTCTCATTGTCGATTGTGACCATATGTGTTGGCGATGATTTAAAGCTGTTGACCTGTCTGATCTGTCCACATGTATCTACCTTTCTATTGTGGCCATTCCTTTTCTGATGTTTTTTTTATGTAGAGCAGGAGACTATTTCCACACAACACACATTTACCTGTCATCATGATCAGTATAATATTTTACCGTCTTCTGATTTGTAAGTACATTCTTTTCACATTCATAATGTAAATGTTTTGTATATAAATGTCAACCTAGAGTCCTTGTACTTACTTTATTGATACCTTGCCCTTAATTCTGTAATGAGATTATGACATGTTATATTCTTTTTCCAGCATCAGCCTGACTATAAACCAACTTTGAAGATGGCAGCCGCCAAATACCAGTCTTCTAAAGAAACCACAAACTTCGCCCGGATTTGCAGGCTGGTCATTGATGTCATCCCTGACTTATTGCGAGATTTGCTCATCACCCGACTGCCACCATCAGGACTCGCTCATGTACTTACCAACCTGAAAGGTCAGGTCATCTCGATGAATAAACAACAAAAGAAGATTCTGTATCCTCAGGGTGGGCTGTTTCAAGGTTCTGTTAAGGATTTGGACACATCACTTCTTTACATCCTACTTAGAAACCTTGGAAATATTTCACCTCATCAGAATGGTTGGGGGAATGTACCGGATATAGCAGACAGATCTCTGTCAGCAAACATCGACCGTCTACGTGAGCAGCGCAATGAGGCATATGCACATGCACCCAATGCCTCCCTTTCTGATGGAGATTTTCAGACTAGGTGGGGCATCATCCGCCAAAGTGTGGAGGAAATACAAAATAGTGAACTGAAGACAGGGTTGTTTGTGAAGGCAGTGGATGATATACTTACCATGAGGATGGACCCCAGTACAGAAAATTTTATAACACTTATAGCACAGATCGAAGGTAATTGTACACAAAGGCTGATTTTATCTACAGAATAAATAATATTCATTAAAATTATATTGAATCGATATAAAATCAGTAATTAAATCAATATTTTTAGCTCACCTGGCCTGTCAGTTGTCTGTCCCTTGTCCGTCGCCGTCGTTCAGCATCAATATTTTAGTTTAAACAACTTCTTTTTAATAACCAAAAGACTTAGGGTGATGATATTTGGCCAGAAGCAAACTGGGTTAAAGGATACCAAGTTTGTTCAAATAAATGACCTTCACCCATATTTAAGGTTACAGGGGTCAATTGTAAGAAAAACTTTAAACAATTTCTTCTGAATAACCAAAAGGACCAGGATGGTGATATTTGGGCAATTGCATGCTTGGATGAAAGGCTATCAAATAATATGAATGACCTTGAACCACTTTCAAGATCACATTTGGTCAGATATGTATAAACCTTTAAATACCTAATCTCATTAAACAAAAGGTCTAGTGTGGTGATATATAGCAAGTTGCATGCTGAGATGAAGGGCTATAAAGTTGTTCAATGTAATGACCTTGTTTGACTCTCAAGGTCATATGGGTCAAAGGTTTTTAAATCATTTGAAAATGTTGTTTTGAATGATTTATAGTCATAAATACTGTTATTTTGCCTGTAGGTTTATTATAAATCACTTTTAAGGTTACAAGTGTGAGATTAATACCAGGTGAGCGATGCAAGCACATTGGGCCTCTTGTTTTAATTGGAAGATAGAAAAAAGTTTTGCATAGCTTTTTAAAAATGAATAATTTATGCTTTTTATATGCCGGTCAAAAATTCTGATGGGACGAATTATGGTATGGGAAAAATGTCCATCCCTCCGTCTGTCTGTCTGTCTGTGTACGTATGTAAGGTAATTAATTAAGGTACTGCTATCTGATTGGTCAATGGTTTTCGCACTACAATTAAGTCAGATATGTTTATTAATTATCTTGCAGAAGTTTGGATATTGACTAATCAGAAATAAATAAATATACAACATTTGATATAGCGCCCTATCTAGCTAACATAAGCCACTCTAAAGCGCTTTACAGTACATAGATAAACAATTTTATACAGTCAATATAATAAGCATATATATATTAGTCAATGAAATATTGAGGAATTAGTAGGAGCTGCCTTATCAGGCGCTAACTACTAGTCCTATGCCACCTGGCTGATATCTCCCTATGTGTGTGTGCTGGAGATGTATTGTGTTCTGTTTGTAGTGGGACCGTGCTTTGAACGGTATCATTTATAGTGCCACCTAACTTGAATGCTACAGCACAGATACCGTAACACCAACCCCAGACCATTTTATATGCCACCTGGGTTGTTGGAGTTGTGTGGGCAGGAGAAAAACACTGATATTTTATTGTGTGTTGTATTTTAGGGGAGATCAGTGACATCAAAGATATTACAGCAGATGTGGATAACCTCAAAGGTAGGATATGAAGCATGTAGACATAACATGTTCTATATCAGGAGGAGCTAGCTAATTGTTTCACCTCCTAAAGCCAATATCGGGGAGGTGGGAATGAATCAGCTTGTCATAGTTTCCCAACCAAACATTACTATGGGGGCAAGAGTTAGCTAGTCATGGTTTCCCAACCAAACATTACTATGGGGGTAAGAGTTAGCTAGTCATTGTTTCCCAACCAAACATTACTATGGGGGTAAGAGTTAGCTAGTCAT